ACCATCACAGAGATGTGTGCTGCTCTGGGTAACAGGAGCTGATTCCCTCCTTGCTCATTGGATTTCTACATCAATTTGAGATATATCTGTCCTGCAGCCAGAGGTTTCACCACAGATATATAGACACAGATGTACTTGTATGAATATGCATACCAGTATATGTAATTATGGCTGCAGGGGTTTGATATTTGGTCACTGATCTCCACTTCTGTCCATGCTGCCATCCCTTCGTGGCTATTGGTAGCTGAGCTGATTAGATGAATGTTTTCTCTACATGATACAGTTTTTTTCTGATTCTGCAACAAAATCAGCCTTTGCTTTTCATTAGCAACAGAAGATTTGAGCATATCATGATGGAAAGCCTACATTATTCATCACGTCTGGCTTTTGCTGGTGTGACTGATGGGACCTTGGTGATGTTTTAAAATGGGGGGCAGGGTAGCTGATGTATTGGCTGTCCTTGTTTCAGCTGAGACAGAGTTAACTTCCTTCATAGTAGCTAGTATGAGGCAATGTTTTGGATTTGTGTTGCGATGAAGGCTGGTAACATACTGATGTTTGTAGTTGCTGCCATGACAGTCAAGAACTTTTCATGCTTTGCAAGTGTCTTCAGGTGCAGGAGAAGCTGGGAGGGATCATAGCCCACAATTACTGGCTTAGGAGTCAACCTTAGGTTTAGGATTGAGACGCAAATTGGCCAGTGTTATATTCCATATCATGCATGTCATGCCCAGTATATAGATGAGGGTCTGGCTGGATCTTTGCTCCCTCTAGGGGTTGTCTCTCGCTCTCTTGGTCACTTCTCGCTCTCTCAGATGCTCAGGCTTTTATCTCTTTTCTGGGATTGTAGTTTTGTGACTCTCTCTGCTCCGGGATCATTAGCTGAGAACAGGCTGACCCTTGGTCATTGGGTGGTGGGCAGTTGCACTATGTATCACTCATTTGTATATTTGAAAATTTGTATATATTACTGTTATTATTATTATCATTATTATTTTCAATTTTATTGTAGCCTAGTTATTAAATTTTTCTTAACCCACGAGTCTCTTTTCCCTTTGTCCCTTTAATTCTCTCCCCCATCCCCAGGAGAGGGGAGGGTGAGCGAGTGGTTGTTGTGGTGTTTGGCTGGCAGCCCGGTCAAACCACGACATACCTAAGTGCACAGCACAGAAAAACACCTTATCACCTTAAGAAGTCCTAGTCCCTTTCGTCTGTTTTTCCTCAGTGCTGTTTTCCACCAAGAATTTATTCTTTCACTGCCTCCCCAAACGTTCTTGCAAAGGCCCCATCAAGTTCTCGTGTCCACTAGGATATTTCTTACCTCATTTTCTGTCCCCATCTGGAGAAGGATAAGTTTTGCCATTACATAGATCTATATGGGTTCTGAGACGCTGTTTAAGAAGAGTCTTTCCTCTCTGAGTCCAAGGACTTTTTCATTCCCTTTGCAAGCTCCTGTGGAGTTTCATAAGGCCCTTATAAAATTTTTTCTGCCTGAAAGGTCCTGGCATGAGCTGCTGTCTCACAAATTGCAAGTCAGTCCATGGCACAAGGCTGCAGAGAACACCTGCCCCCCAACTTCTGTATTGCAGAGTTATCATAATATAAAAGAAAGAATAGTGTATAGAAATATCATTACCTATTACATAGTTACATACCATATGATTGTCTCTAAATGTATATACAAACATGCATTAATATATATGTATGTTTTATGTACAGTCATATGTACATAATACACCAGTAATTTTTTTTTTCATGTTTAGGATGATCCCACTGTAGCTATTTCAGCAAAAATTATGCCTGTCACCAGCATCCTGCACACGTCCTCTTGAATTCTGTGGTTCTTTCAGTCCCCAAATCCTTACACCCGTGTTCCTGCCAGCTTTAATCCAGCAGTATCCATATTCTGATGCTCCTCTTTCCTCATACCAAGTGAAAAATGTATGCAAGCGGTTCCCACTCTAATTTGACAACGTTCCTTTTCCCAGCGATGCTTCAGGCACTGTGAGAGCAGGGACAGGAGGACTTCCCAGAGCTTTGCCTTCATTCAGGAGAGGTGTTAAGGCTGCTCAGGACTCAGGGCAGTACAGATTTAGGAGGTAACATGCTGAGGCCTCGATAAATCTCTAGAGAGAGGCTTCGAAAAGTCTGCAGGCTGCCTCAGCCCCAAGTGCCTCTGTATTCCCAGCGCAGCCCCAGGCTTTCCCTGGAGGTGTGCACATGTTGTGCAAGTGTGTACAAGCTATACGTGCCTCTGTGTAGCTGATGTTTCAGACCTACCACCTAAATTTTCTGTTGCAACTCTGAAAAGTAGCTTTTTTTTTTTTTCATTTAGTTGTGCCATGTAAAATTAAACTTGAATGAATAATTACCACTCCCTACTCAGTGAGCTACAGTTAATAGGGATGAAGTATAGTACATTAATCTCTGTATTTATGAGAAAAGACGTTGTTTTGGAGAATCTGGTTGGTTTTGTTTTCATTCGGTACATTCCTTAGCACATTTATAACAGGCAAATGAGATTCAGAAGTGTATGGGGAAGATGTCAAATTCAAGAACCCTTAGATGCTTCCAAGATTTCATACTTTCTGAGGAGAATAAACCACAATGTAAGGGGAGCTTATAGCGTCACCATTCAAATCCAGTGACCGATGGCTCATGGAGGAGTGAATAGGTTCAGTTCATCATGTCCCAGCCTTTCCGAGGGAGCCAGTGCCGTTCCCTGCCTCACTGAACTGAAGACAATGAGATTTTCTCAAGTTCACAAATGGAGATTTCATTTGTCTGTGGTGTGGGTACACATTCTGTAACAATATCGTGCGGACTTTCTGAGCGAGCATCCAATGCTTTCAACCTCTTGGCTTAGATTAACTCTGTATTACCTTAAATTTGGAAAGAAAACAAGTGTTTTGCTCACATTTCAGCGGGAAAATCGTAATAGTCCCTATTATTGAGTTCTGTCTTTTTAACTGTGCTCTGCAGGCGCTGAAAGCAGGACTCAATTCTGTCCTGTGTCCACCTCAAAAAGCAAATCCGTTAAGCAATTTTGTGCATTTCAGAAATGGTCTCTTTTCTATAAATTATGTAACTGTGCTGAGTATGTCTGTATACCAGGTTTTGAACTGTGGGTATAGACAAGGACAATTAGCTGCAAAGGGTAATTTCAAAACAGTAAATTAGATAAATGATATATTACTAGGAAATGCTCTGTGATAAGGAGAGCGTTTTAAAGCAACTTGTTTTATAAATTACACCATCTGTATTACATAGTGAAGTTAATTTTAATTACATCAAAATATGTAGAATTATTTAAAAGCAGTTTAATGAAAATGCAGTTGTAACCTTTCTAAGGGACAATTCTGCTATACAGACTTTTGTTAGGAGATAAAACAAGGAAATTAAGATAAGGACTTGCACGTTTTCTTTTACTCCTCATGAGAAATGTTGGCTGTGTTTTACTGGATACAACATCTAAAGCAGAAATGGAAATAGAGAAATAGAGCCTCTAACCCTGAAAAGTAATAAGATTGGATAAATTTTTGCTCTGGTCTGTGTTCCCAATATAGAGTTCAGTGAAATATTACAAGTTCTTAAAAGAGGAAATATTAAAATGTATTACCTTTTTTATCCCAAAACTATAAAATCACTGACCTTCACCAGGGGCTGCTTGAGGTACCCGAAATCAATAGTGATGCCACCACTGACTGATTGATTTCAGTTTCCTTTTAATAGCTGATAAAATAAAGAGCTTTGATATCATTGGGGTCTGAAACAAAAAATGCCCTTTGTACCCTGGTTTCTGCTTCAGGATATTTGGTGTCAGCCACAAACCACACGCTATGGCCCTCGCCCAGCCTGTGGCTGGAGAGCAGCCGGGCAGCAAGAGGCAGATTTCCAGTGCTTCAAGGGGCTTTCTGCTGCTCCCGCTACTTCTCAGAGTAGCCATAGGGTCCAGATCTGAAAGCATCTCTCCAGTCCGCATCCATGCTGGTGTTTGAGTCAGGAGTGTGATTTTGAATCTGATGTCCCGATCCTCCCCGCTTCTCCTGTCTAGCACAGCTGTCTGGGGGTGCGGAGTCCTCGCAGAGGGAAGGAAGCTGGGGGATGCAGAGGAGCACGTCTGATGTGCTTCTAGTCCTTAGAGCTCTTCTGACTGTGGGGTTGGACTTCAGCTAGTCTTAAATCCTCAAGCAGGGTGAACATCAGGTCCTCAGCATCAGCTGTTTTGCTGCACTGCCTACCAATGTAGAAATAGCCTTCAGGTGTAATGCTCACATCTGGTTGAAGTTATTTATATGTGCACGTGTCTAAGGGTAACCTTCTCTTACTCAGCAGACATTTAAATACTGTCTTAGGTGTAAACCTCTACTGGAGTGGGTGGTTTTGGATTTAGAACTAGACTTCTGGATCTGTTTAATATTTAGAGCCAGTTATTTAGAGGTTAAAAATCTCAGGGAGGTTTTTGATGGGTTTCCCGGAGTCTTGCCACTTACACTGAATTAAAAATGTTCAGACATCCTTTAAAATGTGGTTCTTGGGCCCTGGAAGCTGGGTCTTGCACTGCACTGCAAAGCCTTGGTGATATAGGGACCGAGATGTCATGGGCTTTTGGTGAGAGTGGGGCTCCTAAATCACTTAGGAACAGACCCTCAGAAATATTCAGTCACCTGAACATTAGTTAAGAGCTTATTATTTTCGTGAGCCTTTGAAAAATCTATTATGTGCATCTTCAGCTACAAGGAGACCTTTACAATCTGATTTTTATGTTTTGTGACACTTCACAGAGCAATCTGTAGATACCTTAAAAACCTTGGGCTACTGCTAAGGATGCTCAAGTACCTCAGACACTTTGAAAACTCTTACCCTTATTAGTTTTCACAGTTGGGAGCTTATGTTAGAGTAATTGGAAGCATAAGACAGTTTGGGAGGAAATAATTTGTGTGCTGAAGAACACTGTGTAAGTTTTCCCTTTTTAACAAATTTATCCTGCTGTTTTTCAGGTAAAGGTGATGTGTTTGGTGATATCTTCTGGAAGGAAACCAGTCTGGCCCATGCGTGTGCCAATGTGAGGGCCCTGACCTACTGCGATTTACATATTATTAAACGAGAAGCCTTGCTTAAAGTGTTGGACTTTTATACTGCTTTTGCAAACTCCTTCTCAAGGAATCTCACGCTCACCTGCAATTTGAGGAAGCGGGTAAGGCGACAGCTCTTGTTTTCCCCTTTCTCTCACCAAGAGGCTGCATGCTCTTGCCGACTGTTCGCAGTGTTTAACAACCCCCAATTTACTCTTGATGTTTTCAGGTCATTGCAGATTAACTGGCCTTTCAATAAATGTTGTTGCTGTTCGTTAATGATGGCTCAATAAAAGTTTCCCGTAGATTTGCAGCTCTGAGGAGCAGTCCTAGCAGGATGACATATAAATTACATTTCTTTCCCTTTACAGATGTTGGTTTTTGGCTTTTTTTCCCCATTGCATAATGTATAAAGTTATATTTTATAGTCTGATAGAATCCAGATTCTGAATTCCTCAGAGGTGAAGTTTCGTCTCTCATCTGCTAAGATTTAGGTCAGAGGACAGTTTGATGGATCTACATGGCATAGACCAACTAAGAGAAATTTATTCGTGTTAAATAAATAAAATGTATCCAGAAAAATTTTATATTAGTACTTGCTTCTCTTGCTTGCATAGTTTAGAATTTTAATATAGCAAGGTTAATAAAGCTTGGTAGCAAATTTATATTCACAGCTCACTTCTTAAACCCTCCTGCTCATTTTATAATCAATCAGCAATGCTCACTATCCATTAGTCCTTTCAAAGAACACTCTGTCTAAAAATTAATTATCTGTAAGGACGTATCTTGAAAACAGGTTAAGGGATTCTTTAATTCGCATTGCGGCTGCAAAATTTAATCTTTATGATGTTTTTTTTAAGATTGATGAGGGTTATATAGATTTCGTTTGCATGGAGAAATCACATAGCAATGATTTATAGATTATTGAGCATTAACTGTGATCCTCTAGCTGCTGAAACATTTTTCTTCAGCTGTACCGAGGACGTCTCACCTGGTAATGTACTGAGGCTGCCTCAGTATTTCACAAGACAATTTCAGCTCTACAGTAACAGTAGTTCAACACAACTAGAATTTTACTTTTCTAAGCCTGGTTTCTCTCCAGCCACTGGAGCATCTTACAAATGCTTCTTTCAATTGAGTTTTAATTTTTAGTGCATTCCTTGTGCTTATTAATATACTAAGTATGACACAAAATACCCATGGCAAAAAGCAGATGCAAGGGGGTTACAGTCCCTGTCTGTGCTGAAGCCTGCAAGAGCTGCATTATAATCTGGTCTGGTTCCAGTTTGTTAGCTTACCTCTGACTTGAAGCTTGTTTACTCTGCTTTCGACCTGAAGAAGGGCTTTGGGGTTTGAAAGCTGGTTCAGGGTTTCTAGCTTATCACTTCTGTGTTGGTAAGATGTCCTCCAAGACTTGACTTCAGTACCTTCCCCATTGCCATCTTGCCTACCTGCAGCGTGCCACCAGCTACAGTCCCACGATGACAGTTCTGCTCAGGCATTGCTGTCGGTGATTTCATGGGACAAGATAATGCCACATACGTTGTGCCAAAAATGTTTTCTTTCCTTCTTAAAACTGTGAACTTGTCACTTCAGCTGGCTTTCTGGGACTCCCCTTCCGGCATTATGTGTGACAAGGTTGTGTACAGCAAAGACATGTACAGATCTTATTCCTGACAGGGCAATGAGCTGGAATTCAATTCGGTAGCCCAGGGATGCATATGGGAAATAGCCTCCTGCCTGGGTTTTCATGGATTTTCTTCTCTCCCACGCACCCTTTTTTTTTTTTTTTTTTTTTTTTTTTTTCAGGAAAACTGGTTCCTCTGCAAGGCCCTGCTATAGAGAGCAAGCTCAGTGGAGACACTCATGGGGCTCAGGTCCCTAGTACAGATACTGGCTGTATAGCTCAGTGTTAGGTACTCGGACTTTGCCGTGGGGGCAGTGACTCAAAGCAAGAAGGAACAGCGCTTCATAGAATCAGAATGGTTCGGGTTGGAAGGGACCTTAAAGTTTATCTGGTTCTAACCACCCTGCCAGGGGCAGGGACACCTCCCACTAGACCAGGTTGCTCAAAGCCTCATCCAGCCTGGTCTTGAACACTTTTAAAGAAATGCTTGATTTTGTAGAAGGAACGGAAATGTGGGCTGGGTGCATGTGTGGGCTTTGCATGAGAGTGGATGGAGAGTTGAAGAAAGGTTTTGTCAATGTGGTACATGCAGAGTGGAGATCATTTTTCAAAAGCTGGTTGGTGACATCCAGGATAGTGATCAGTCACCTTTATAGCCCATGAGGAATGGTTCCTCCAGAAGGCAATCATCTGGCCCCTCTTTAGTGCCCAGTCTGAGATGGGAAAATCATCCCGTTTCTGTTGACTTTTGAGAGAGTCCTTGATCACTAACTTTTAAATACCTAGGGTACATCAGATGAACTCCACCTATGGTGTCTCCTACAGTTTTACTCACGAACTATTTTGGGAAATGTCTTACTTCTAGTATTGCAGTAAGATGTGCTGAGCCAGAGCCTGCTTTGGAGAAATTCTCTGTATTGTTCCTAGGCACGAAATAGATCATGCTGCTTTCAACACCAGGGACACAATCTAAGTCTCGTTACATAAAGTTATTCCGGGGATTGTTTCAAACCTCCTGTCTGCTGAAAGTATACGTGATTCCCTGTTGGGTGCAGAAGTGTTTGACGGTGAGTTCATCTCCTAGGAAAAGCTGTGCCATCTGGGACAGTTTCATCAGGCGAACACAAAGCAGTTGTTCAGGCAATGAGACCAGCTGACAGAGCTGCATCGTACTGCAGGGGTTTGTGCTGGATTTGTGTAATCTAAATGGAAAGAAAATCATTGTCTCCTTTAATTGATTTCAATAGAAATATACTTAGCACTTTTTCTACGTAGTCGTCACTCATAAGGTTTGACGTTTAATTATAACTCCTTGCGATTCTGTGCTCAAGAAAATGGCTGTTCTCACTGCCAGAAATATATAGACAGAATTGTTCTTCCATCACGTCTGCTCTTCAAAATACTCATGGATGTGTGTGGGTGCGCACACACACACACACGTGTTTGTGCTGCATTGTCTCTCAACAGGCACTTAGGCTGCAAAACAATTTAGACGTTCAAAAGGCTAATAAATTAATAATAGTACTGAGCACAAAAGGTTAGTTCCACCTGACAGGGAAAGGAAAGTCACATTGAAGTGGGAAAATAATGTTTTCTCACTCCCAGATAACATTTAGAGGCCTGGCATGTTGAATGACCTACTTAAGGCATCTGCTGGGCGTGCTCTTATCAACTCTGGAATTTCGCTTTCTTTACTGTGTGTTAGATAGCTCAGTCATCACACTGTACTTACGAGCCCATAAAGCGAACGTGCCTGCTGGCTTTTCAACCTGCAGCCATCTCTCCTGCCTAGGGTGGAGAGGTGACTTTTAATCGGTAATTGCCAAGTATTGCAGCATGTTTCATGCTCTGAAATCTTTATGGCACATCTAACGTCACTAATGCACACTCCGAGGCAGAACCAGGCCTTTGAACTTTTTCTCCAAACAGGGAAAAATAATTAATCTGGAAAGATGTTGTTTAAAATCACAATGAGATTACATAGCTGCCTCTGAGGATTGAAAGTTGTAAAGCAGCGTTTGGGATGAGCCTTCGAAGAGTTAATTACTGCCTTCTGATGTTGGAAGAGAATATTAATAGTGTCTAATTCATTAAGTGCCTTTCAAGATTTCAGGCAGCTGGAGGAGAGCCTCTCTGCAAGCTTGAGCCGTGGAGCTCGGCCAGAGGAGGGGAGCCAAGACAAACCTCTAGGAGGCTCAAGTCCATTTAAATAAATGTACATTTTATTGATGGTCAAAATTCAGCAAGGAAGACCTACAGCAAGCTACCAAATGTGTTACCACAGGAAACAAGTGTTCAGCGGAAATATTTTTAAAGCTTTTTTTTTTTTAGTTTTCTCATCATTGCTGCCTTTTGCACTAGTTAATGCACCATCTTCAGCTCACTGCCAGACCACCACGGTCTGTGCAAGTGCAAGGAAAAAATCAAACTGAAATTTTGGCCCTCCTGAAATCACAGCTACAATTCGCCTGCGCTTCAGTAAAGCAAAGATTTCCCCCACAGCTTTTAAGCTACACGGTCACATGCTGCTGTTTCTACCATAAGCAAAACAAGCTGTGTGAAAGCCCTGAGTCGGGAGCAGCCAGGGAAGAGGACAATTGTCCGTGTGGGACCTCTGGCACATCTGCTGCTGGAGGGTGTGCTGGAGAATGAGCCAAGGAGATGCGAGGAGAAACCAGTGCCTTTGAGGCAGTGCAATGCCATCCAAGGAGGCTCAGTTCTTTTCCCTGTGACACTCTTAAAGCTGACGACACCACGGTGAGTGACTGATGTTATCAGATGCCTCCAGCACACTGCGGATTTCTGAGGCTTTTTAGTGGATGAGCCCATCAGTGTGTCTTCACACACACCCTGTTCTTCCTTCTCTTTCAAATAGAATAATTTCTTTTCAAATTGGCTTTCTGTTTTTGCTTGAGGTTTTAATGAATCACGTGTTGTTTCTTGACTGAATCACTCATCATTTCTGTGTCACATAATTTTTAGAAAAGCTTTATTTTAATTTGAATTCTGCGTTCGTGTCTACCAGAAGTGAAGGTTGTACCAAGTTTCATTCAGGATCCCCCTTCTTTTTCATTTTTAAGGCTTTACAGATGGTGTGCTATGTTAGAGTGTCCTGTTGCAGAAGCAGTGTCAGAAGCAGAAAGCATTGCTTTGTGTATTGGCCCTTGCTCCTGAAGGTTGCACATGTCCTGGTGAACCTGGGCACTTTTGCAGGTCTTGAGCTCTGAAAGCTGTCTGCAATCATGGCAGCTTAATTCAGAGCTGTTTGCACTTTGCCAGCTGGTGCTCACCCTCAGTCCTGATCAGTTGTGGGGAGTGACTTGCTCAAATGGGAAAGGGTCAGAGCATCATCCTTGGGTAACTGGCAAACAGAAAGCTGTGGGGTAGCTGTGAAGCAGGACATGCTGAGCACTTCCTCTGCCCAGTAGTCCATCTCCACTAGCAGGTCCATCATCCATTTTCACCTTTTTTCAGTCTGTTACTCAGAGCTTTCTC